TAGTTGTTTATGTGCTCTTACTCATTTGTAAGGATTCTCAAACAATATACATTAAAAAAAAAACCTCTAAAATCTTTCCAAATGTGGAGGGGTAGGAAGTTAGAACTGTGTGTGTGTGTGTGTGAGTGTGAGAGAGAGCGAGCGTGCACACAAGCAGAATTTCTGAATTCCTCTACACCTTAATTCAAAGTCTGATATCAAGGTAATTTTTGATCTATTGAATTATGGAATATTTTCCATATAATCTCTCAACCTATATTTTTCTGATTTAGCCAAGGTGGGTAAAATTGCACAGCTTGAATTTCATTCTACATAGTCAGTAATGTTTTATTTTAGGGGAACATTCAGTGAACAGCTCCTTCTTTTATAGTTAGCATATAATTAGTTACAACATTTGCAAATGGAGCATTCCTTCTGATGACATAGAGAAAGAGTAATGGATTACCTTCTTCTGCCACAAGTAACAACAATTTTATATTTCACAGTAGAGTTTCATATATGTCTGCTTCAAAGGAAATCCTACTGACTTGAATTGAGTTTCTGTAAGATTGAATTCTAATTTACTTGCTTGGCAACTTTTTCTGAGTTTACACATGTTGTCCTGTCTGTCATATGATCATATTGGTTAAAATATTTTAGTCATGATTTAATAGACTATGCTAGACTTCAGACACCCTCCAACTGTGTAACTGAACACAAACTACCAGTTATTGTTACAAGCATCTTCTCCTGAGCCACAACAGAGTGAGGACAGAGGCACTGCATAAGAAAGGTTAGAATGACTACATTATTCTTGACATGATGAGGTTGTTAGTGGCATGTTACATCATGTATGAAGCCAGTACCCACAGAGGCTTCTTCCCTATCCTTTGCTAGCCTTCCTGGTTCATTTTCACCTTCTTCCTAAGGGATGAGGCATAGCTATAAAGCAGAGTTCAATTATTTGGTTTAATCTGAATAATTTGTGTGTGTGTGTGTGTGTGTGTGTCTGATTCATCCTATAATCACAGCTATTTTCACATCAATTTCTTAGGAATTGTTCTTCTTATCTCCTTTTTTGCAGAAAAACAACCCACCCCTAATTCTGTAATTGTTATTGCATTACATTCAATAGTTTTGTCATCTCTCTCTCTCTCTCTCTCTCTCTCTCTCTCCCTCTCTCTCTCTCTCTCGTAGGGTTCTGTGTGTATGTGGTTATAATTGCTATTACCACACTACACAGAACTTATAAGGCTTCTCAGTATGTTTCACTCAGGATATTTCTCTTAGTGACTTCTATCTGCTTAATTAGTTTCTGTTCAATGGTAATATAGTAACATTAATTAAATCTTAATTAAGGTAAAATCTCCTTCAAGACGAGCTTGACTTCTAGTGACTTAACACAATTTTCTTGGCAACAATGCAGAAGTGGGATGCCACTGCCTTTGTCTGGGACACTTTTTGAAATCTCCAATCCAAATACTAACCAGACCTGAACCTCCTGAGCTTCTGAGCCCAGACAAGGTCACCCAAGGGCTGGCAAATCTTAACTGCCCAATACTAAATTACTTTCAGAAAAGGGTTAAAGTTTAATTAATTACTCGTTATCATTTTAATGATAGTTTTTCAATGAGAGTAAATAATAATTAATGCACTCTCTTGAGGATGAGGGGATAATTGAAGAACAGTTGTCATAATGCAATAGTGTTAGGGTTGATGGTGTTGCTTTTAATTAAATTTGAAGATTATGACTTACTTCTGAGTAAATATAAAACTATCCTGGCTAAAGAATGCAAAATATTTCAAATTTGAAATACCTTGAGCTCAAAATAGACTGTTTTTAACATGACATGTTGGTTCTGAACTTGAGACAGGCTGTCCAATGTTCAAAATGATCTGTTTGGCTTTTGAAGTAGGTATGGGGTCATTTTGAGCCTGGAACAATCTAATAAGGCTGAAAAAAAAATTAAACTGGGAACTAGTTATTCTAATTTTTAAGAATATTTTAAGCTTGATAGAGGGTGTTTTGAACTCAAAATATTTTAAATGCATACAAACTTGGCAATCAGAAAGGTTACTGCCAGATTACAGATAATAATAATACAGATGATAATGTTTATGAATGATGTGGAGCCACAATATTAATTTGGTTTCTTTCTGGTGCAGCAATGCCAAGGCTGTTTTAAAGTACCCTAGTCTGAATGACAATTTATTTAAATAATGTGTGTGTGTGTGTGTGTGTGTGTGTGTGTGTGTATGTATGTATGTATATTAGATTATATGATTCCAGGCTGCAAGAATTCGATGTGTATTTGAATGCTTCTGTACCAAAATATATCCAAAAAACAATTATTATTGTTTATTATTATTATTTAAGCTGTTGGTAAAAAGCCTAGGTTAGGATCTTAATGTTCTTCTTTTCTACATCAAAGGAACAGCATTACAATAAAAAAATACTGTAACATGCAATCTACCCAGCTTCTTTCTGGCCTAAATGCAAAGTAGGGGGAAAACAAAACCCAACAACTTTTAATGTGTGATTCAGTATATTATACACATACTTTGGAGTACCTGTTAGCCCCACTTAATTTAAACAATCTTCTTAACTTAAACTATCCCATATTCCAACTATCTACTTTCACAATAAGGTCTATCGGGTCATCCCCCCCCTCCCCCATTTCTGAGTAGTACACTTACCAACCACTGACATTTCAGGAACACTTGCTGTATAAATTTCTTCTGGAAATGTTGGCTCATTGTCATTGATGTCATGGATTTTGATGACAAATTCTGATTCAGGTTCTACTGGCTGAAGTGTTCTTCGGTTAATAGCCTGGGCACGTAGGGTATAGAAAGCTTTCTCTTCCCTGTCAATTCTTCTTGTGGCATGAATGTCTCCTGTTCGCTCATCAATAATAAAAAGAGTGCCAGCCCCATCTCCTGACAAGATGTACTTGAGGGATCCATCTCCTTTGTCCTGGTCAGAGTGAAGCTACAAAACAGACAAAGTGATAGAAAATGAAGAAGCTAAAGTTTTCTGAGACTTTAGAATTCAAACAGACAAGCACCTGCCACACAACACCCCAAACTTAACAAGTGTTGATAAGAAAGGCAAAAAGGTCTGGATAGTGAACATTGCAATACCTGGAGACAGCAGAAGAGAAGAGAAAAAAATGGAGAAAAATCACAAAATACAAAGACCTGCAAATAGAAATAGAATAACTGTGGCAAAAGAAAGCAAAGATAGTACTAATAGTAATAGGCACCTTGGGTGCAATTCCAAAACATCTGGAGCACCACTTGAAGACCATCGCCATTGACAAAATCACCATCAATCAATTGCAAAAGGCAGCTTTACTCGGAACAGCTTACATCCTGCGACGATGCCTTTAACGCCATCAAACAACCACATCTGCCTATCCCAGGTCCTTGGGAAGGACTCAATAGGCGGATAAACATGCCAAACCCAATCTAAACATCTGGCTGACTGTGTGACCAACAATAACAGTAGTAGTAGTAATAATAATAATAAGCCAGTTTATTATATATTAAAGCACACAGAAGAGTTTGTAGAAAATATGAATTGACAAAGGCCATTCCAACTCACAGAGATTGTTATGTGTGTCGGTATAGTAGCAGTAGCAGAAGCAGTTACAGCTAACCTCTCTTTACCACAATGCTCTTAATACAGAGAATAATCTTGATAGCTCAGCTTTGGTGGCAGATTTTAGTTTTTCTAGCGACACCTGTTCTGCAGAGCAGAACATTTGTGTCACAAATCTTAGAAGAATTTTATGTTAATGCTGACCTTTTCTTTCTTGAAAAAGAATATATTAAACATTCACAACCTGCTGCCTTGGTTGTAAATTCTCTAAGCAGATAAAGGACATGACAGGATACATGTTAATTAAGAAACGTATCTTGAGCTGGTGGTGTCCTTTAAAATTTTTTTTAAAAACCCTCAAAACTTCATATTTATTTAAAACAAACCCATAAATGGGGGACACCCATAAATGTGTTGGTAAACTGAAATGTCTGAATACATTCTTTCTGTAATCTAAAATGTATTAGATATGGAACGGAAGAGCTCTAGACATGGAATATTTCTGATCTAAGAAAGGATTAGGGGGCTTCATTTATTCATCCTTAACAGCTCCATCTCTTGAAGAAGTAAATCTAACTGGTATTCATGAAGGTCAATCTTTGCTGCTTATGGATATGGGCCACGTTGGTTTTGGGGTTGTCACAGAAGCCATATAGGAGCAGATGTTTCATGGAAAATCCCCTGCTTAGTATCAGACAGATATTGTTTTGTTGTCTCAGGGTATACTTCTGTTGTCATGTTTTGTTTATAAGTAGTTTTATTTCTGTGAGACATTTTAGTTCTTGTAATGCATATTGCCTTAGATTCTGCTGCTTTAATTCATTATTTTGGTATATTATTTTTGTTTTCATCTTTGAAAATCTGAATATTTTAGTCTATGTTGCCCTAAGATCTGTTATTTGTAGGGTGACTAAATAATCTCAAAGACAAATCAGTGATTCAGCCCATGTTTTACACATTGAATGTCCTAGATCCAATCTGCTGTATATCCCTGACTATTAACCATAGTAGATTCCATTTAAAACAGATTTGAATCTCTAATAAGGCAGATTCTTTAATTATGAGTTCTAATAAAAGTGTATTCTTGCTGTTTGGTATAATCTGTGCATTCTTTAGTACTCAGAGAGAAACAGGAAGATTTTTAGGAGGTTAAATGTAAAGATGCCTCAAATCAAACAAAATTCCTGGTGACTAAACAGGCATGTAAAGCAATTACACAATGATCTTAGTAGCAAACTGGAGGGAGGGGGGGAATTATCAGGAGTCATTTGGAGCAGAATAAGCCCTGGGTTAATGAACTGTTTTGGATGTTTTGAAGATGATGAGGATGATGATGATGATTGCTATAATATACAAAAAACACAACCATTATCAACTTTTAAACTGTAGTAATCAGGCTTGTTTGGGCTAGCTTTCTTAATCAAACAATAATTCTGACACTTATTTTAATGAAAAAAAAAAACTACAGGCATGTTAACTAATTATTTTGTTTATAACCTCTCTCTCCCTCTCCCCCCCTCTCTCTTCCCATATAATAGACATACATACGTAGGCAATTTCAGCCAAATCAGCACAAGAAATTTAACATGAAAGTTCCCAACTTGCTTTTTCAGTTTCGAATGAATTCTTTGAAAAAGGGGTTGGGGGGCGGCAGGAAGAAGGAATATTTTCTAATCCAGCAGAAGATACTACTCTTAAAAGTTAAAAGATCGCTACTGGTATGACATTAACAGCAAACATTTATTTCTTGAATAGATCACCCTTAGCCCTAAAATTCATTATAACTGACAATATGGAAGGATGATTGCTGAATGCCCGTGTCTTGGCCAATTTTTCTTTAACAGTTAAGGGTTGACCTTGGTACCAAAGATTGAGAATACTGGCTAAAATAATGAGCTAGAGATAATGCTTATTCCATTTGTTTTTGTTATTGGGGTTTCTTTTTAGTGCAGTTTAAGTCTGTCACTGCCTATTTTTCTTTTCAAGGTCAATTCCTTCTGAATTTCAACAGCATCAGGAATGAAACAATTATTTCTCTGCACATATTTCAACACTGTAGACATTTGCTTTAGGACAGCTATCAAATATTCAGTGTTTCTCTTTAGCCCCTTTTTGAAAAATTTGGCCTTTATTTCTTCATGACTGCGTTCGCAAATTCCATCAAGATAGGGCACTTCTTTGTGTTGTGCTCCAAGCAGACCATGTTAGACATCTTGCTGAAGATTTAATTTTGATTCTTCTACTGTCTTCCCAGCACCTGCTGCAAAATGTTTTAGTGTTTTTTTTTTTTTTTTGTAATAGTACTTTGTAATGTTTATTACATTAACATTTGTTTCTGGGTCAGTGGTCTTTCTCTATGAGGTGCAATAGAGGTATGCAATGATCTAAAGTGGCCAATTCAGATCCAGTGTGGGCAGTCTCTCTTTATCTATCAGATGTGTCTTTCCTGGACTCACACAATGGAGTCGTAGCCTTAGAAAAATATATGTTTGAGTTCAGGAGACATTACGGAGGTGGCAATATAGCAGCAAGTTCTCTCTCTCTCTCTCATTCTCTCTCTCTCTCTCTCTCTCTCTCTCTCTCTCTCTCTCTCTCTCTCTCTCTCTCTCTCTCTCTCTCTCTCTCTCTCTCTCTCTCTCTCTCTCTCTCTCTCTCTCTCTCTCTCTCTCTCTCTTTCTCCCTCCCTACAATAAAAATAGTGCAAGCAATGGTATTCCTTGTGACACTCTATGAAAGCAAAAGTTGGTCTCTGAAGAAGCAGGATAGGAAGAGTATTGATGCCTTTAAACTTTAGTGTTTGAGAAGGCTCCTGAGAATACTGTGGACAGCCAAGAAAACAGATCAACAGATCATCAAACAAATCAACCCAGAGTTCTCCCTCAAGGCACAAATGACCAGGCTCAAATTATCCTACTTTGAACACATTATACAATGACCTAGCTCTCTGGAGAAGACTCTAAAGCTAAGAAAGGCGGAAGGAAAGAGAAGAAGAGGATGACCAGCAGCAAGGTGGACGGACTCAGTTACAGTGTTGATGGGTCCACCACTGAAAGATCTGAAAGACCAGGATAGGGACAGATCGTCATGGAGAAAATCTATCTATGTGGTCATTAAGAGTCAACTTGATGACACATAATCAATTTTAAAAAATAGCAACACATAGTAACACCGTGTCATTAACTTCTTAATGCTCTTAATTCAAAATAGCAAATAACAGGTAGCAAGAGGGTGCCCACAGCAGAACTGAAGCTTCCTTTCCTGCTTTGGATCCAAATGCTGAGCACCACAAACATATTAGTTTGGGGATTCATTCTAAATTACTTATCTTCATTTCATTTTCACTGGCTTGTTCATATTTCATCTTCATTTGCAGCATTGTCATTAGTGAAGCTGCATAATAGGCAAATGAGATTATTTTTATAGTTATAGCTTTTACTGCTATATCTTGTAAACAGCAGCATGTATATTCCCTGATGTATCAGTTGTTTGAAAAAAAGACAGGGTTTTGTTAGTCTTTTGTCAGTGCACAAGCATATATAAAGGAATCATTGTGACTACTGCTTCATCTATCAAGATTCAGGATAACAATTTTCCCCACTAGATTATTTGCACATGGACATATATCAGATTCTTTCCTTATACAGGTGGTCCTTGCTTAATGACCACTCATCCAGCAACTGTTTGAACTTGTGACAGAGCTGAATGAGTGGTACTTATGACCAGTCTTCATACTTACGATGGTTGCAGTGTTCCCACAGTCATGTGATCACCATTTGTGACCTTCATTGTCACCTTCCTACAAGCAAAGTCAATGGGGAAGCCAGCAAGAGGTTGCAAATGGTGACCACATGATGTCTTTGCTTAACAACCCACTGTGATTCACTTAATGATGGCAACCAGAAGTGCAGGAATTTCTCTTGCTAAGTGGTATAGTCATGTGATGGAAATTCCAATTCCAATTACCATTGTTAAGTGAGATCTTAACTGGACATTTGATCTAACAATTTACTTGAAATATCTCTTTGATTTGATGGATTGGTTGAAATGACTGAATCACATTGATAAAATAGGCAGTCTCAGCCATAGAGGAAGGAGTGTTATGTTGCATGAACAAACTAGTTTCATATCCTGCTACTTGTAATCTCCTGGTTTTTATTATCTATGCTTATTTCTGCATTATGAGATTTCCTTTTTTTTCCTTCCAGAGGTGCTATATAAGAACTTTCTGACTTAGATTCTGCCTATAGTGCGCAATTCGAGCTTTATATCTGTTGATCTTCTTGGCTATGGCTGTTATTCGCTGCTTTATTATTTCCAGTGCTTCTTTGATCTACCTTGTTTCTAGGTGATATTTCTTGATATTCTTTGGTCATTTTGTTCTTCAGTTT